AATCTTTTTTTTTAACAGTTTTTCTAATTGCAGTATAATTGTTTTACAATGTTGTCTTAGTTTCTGTTGACCAATGAAGTGAATCACCTATGCGTGGGTGCTAACTTGCTTCAGCAGTGCCTGACTCTTTGTGACCCCATGGCCTGCAGCCCTCCTGGCTCCCCTGTGCATGGGATTCTCCAAGCAAGAATACTGGAGTAGGCTGCATGCCCTCCTCAAGGGGATCTTCCCCACCCAGGGATCAAACCCTCACCTCTTACCTCTCCTGCATTAGCAGGTGGGTTCTTTACCACCAGCACTACCTGGGAATCAGTTACAAGCATATATATATCCCCTCCCTCTGGAAACTTCCTCCCACCCCTCACACCACACCCCTTCTGGTCACTACTTGAGCACCAAGCGAAGCTCCCTGTGCCATGTTGTAGGTTCCCACTAGCTATCTATTTCACACACAGTAGTATATTTATGACAGACAACATAATCTTAATTAGCCCAGTATCCTAGTCCAATAATCTGACACACATGTGTACTTTAAATCAGTTTCTCAACCTCAAAACTACTGAATGTAGGTCAAATAATTCTTTTTGTGAGAGACTGTGCTGTCCACTGTAGGATGTTTAGCAGCATCCTTGGCCTCTACCTGCTAGGTACAACCCCAAGACCCAACTCTGCCGAGTCATGACAATCAGAAATGTCTCCAGACATTGCCAAATATCCTCCGAGGGGTCAAGCACCCACCCGTGTTTCATAACCACTGCTTAAAACTATACAAAGACTGTATTCAGGTACAGTGTATGTCTTTGCAACACCCACTTGTACCCCCAGCATAACATGCCTTGAGCCAAAGGGGGAGCGGGGGAGCAGTTGTATCTGAGTCTTCTCCATCTCTTTTTATGTCCTGGCTTAAATGTACCCCATCTTCAAGCTTTTACTCCCTGCCTTTCACCTTTGCTGGAGGCACATGTGTACACATACCGCAGTAACAGGTAATGAGGACTTGAGCTGAAAGGTAAGCTCCTGATTTTATTTTCTTTCTTATACTTGTTCTAACTTTTCTTTAGAGCTTTCCATTTCCTTGTGAAAAAATACTCTCCTAGAGAACGCTCCAAAACATATTCCGTGACAGTTATAGTATGAAAGATCAGGGTAAAATCGCCTTCAAAAGCTTTTCCTGTTTCACTTCTATTAAAATGTAACTACTCTGTAACTAATCTGCACACGTATGTGCACGTGCACACACACATACTCACTCATTCACTCACTCACTCACTTGTCCTCTTCAGTTTCAGATCTGTTTCAAGTATACAAACTTTTTATTAACAATGAAAGAGATGCTTGGAATACAAACTAAACAACTAGATAGGGAATAAGTATATAGATTTACACTTCTCAAATAGTTCATCATTTGCTTTAAGCATATGTTAATCTCTAAAGAATAATTCTCTTATCAGTTCAGCTTACTCAGTCATGTCCGACTCTCTGCAACTCCAAGGACTGCAGCACGTCAGGGTTCCCTGTCCATCACCAACTCCTGGATCTTGCTCAAACTCACATGCATACAGTCAGTGATGCCATCCAACCATCTCGTCCTCTATTGTCCCCTTTTCCTCCTGCCTTCAATATTTCCCAGCATCAGGGTCTTTTCCAAGAGTCAGTTCTTTGTATCAGGTGGCCAAATTACAGCTTCAACTTCAGCATCAGTCCTTCCAACAAATATTCAGGACTGATTTCCTTTAGGATTGACTGGTTTGATCTCCTGCTGTCCAAGGGACTCTCAAGAGTCTTCTCCAATATCACAGTTCAAAAGCATCAATTCTTCAGTTCTCAGCTTTCTTAAGACATTGTATCTGAATAACATTCATTTTAATCTTACAATTTTACCACACTTCAACCTCCAAGCTCAGAGTAAGCATTTTTTCTCCTGTTTGGTCCTATATTGTCTTCTTTACTGGGAGACCTCTTAGATAAAGCGTCATTTTCTTAGTCCTTTCTTTCCAGGATACCAAAGGTACCATATTTATTCAATCATTCAATTGTCCATTATTTCCTAAAACCACAGGAAAATTGGCCATGCCCAAGATCTGTGATAATATTGGTGGCTTCTAGTCTTACCTCAGTTTAAAAAAAAATAGCGATGTTTTGTTGCCATTCATTGTTGCCATTCATGCATTCATTCAAAAAATAGTCATTGAGTACCTACATTATTCTAGACTCAAAAAAAAAAAAAACTGCCCTCATGGAGTTAACATTCAGTACAAAAGACAAATGAACTGCAAATAAATAAGTACATCTTACTAAATATGAGTGCTATAGAGAAAAGAATGGTCAGGTAAGCCCTCCATTAAGAAGCTATCATGACACTATGGTTGTGATTAAAAAATAAATAAATTAAAAAAAAAAAAGAAGCTATCATGAGTTCCACTCACTAGTCATAAGAAATGTCTATTATTGGAAGATAGTATGTTCTGAGTATTTCCTATCAAACTGTGTTCCGGATGGTTAGATCAGTATAGTGACATCTTTATTACTGAATAATCTATAAAATTAAGCTTGACCTAGATAATTTCATAAGTTCATTACTACCTGAGCCAACAAAGGTCCATCTAGTCAAGGCTATGGTTTTTCCAGTGGCCATGTATGATGTGAAAGTTGGACTGTGAAGAAAGCTGAGCACCGAAGAATTATTGCTTTTGAATTGTGGTGTTGGAGGAGACTCTTCAGAGTCCCTTGGACTGCAAGGAGATCCAACCAGTCCATCCTAAAGGAGATCAGTCCTGGGTGTTCATTGGAAGAACTGATGCTGAAGCTGAAACTCCAGTACTTTGGCCACCTCATGCGAAGAGTTGACTCATTGGAAAAGACCCTGATGCTGGGAGGGGTTGGGGGCAGGAGGAGAAGGGGACGACAGATGATGAGATGGCTGGATGTCATCACCGACTTGATGGACATGAGTTTGTGTAAACTCTGGGAGTTGGTGATGGACAGGGAAGCCTGGCCCGCTACGATTCATGGGGCCGCAAAGAGTTGGACACAACTGAGCGACTGAACTGAACTGAACAATAAATTATCACAACACCCACCTTGTTTCTTCTATTGTCATCCTTTGTATTTATAAATAACTGTATTTTTCTTAGGAGATGACAGTAACAGCAGTAAGGTTAATATCTTAACCAAGAGGATGAATTAGATACTCTTCAGTCACTTGACTTAAGGAAGTTTTGAAACATGAATTAACTGAAAAGTGCTTCAAAAACTCATCTCAAAAAAATCATTAGTTTACAACGCAGTTACCAGAAATCATACAGATTAAAAAAGTAATCCTTTGTATGTATAACTGATCCACTATGCTGTGTACCTGAAACTAACACATGGTAAATCTACACTCTATTATAAAAAAAAAAGTAATTCTCAAGATTCAGTTCTGAATGTGTCTGTTTTGTGAAGTAAGCCATTACCCTTACAACTAATTTGTAACAGTCCTTCTCAAGGGTAGTTCTATAAGAGAATTAAACTCTAATATCCTAAGGTTCTTAATGACTGAACAAACTTTTCTCCTGTGTATCTAAAATGGAACTAGCTATGTAAATACTGTCATCCTCGGGGGAGTGAGAAAATAGAAATTCAAATCATTTTCTGTAGGTGTAAATTTTCTTGTGAACTGAGTATGAGAAAGGCTGGAGGACATCTGACAAGTCAGATCTTACTTAAATCATACAAAATAATGATAAAATCTTCTTCCAAAACGAAGTAATTCATTATTGGATCATATGGACAATTTCAAAAGAAACTTTCCAATTAGTGATACTATTAAGAAATGTATAATCATCAGTGCTTCTATATTTTGTTACTTTAAAAAAATACCTTTATCTTATTCAATGTTATAAGTGAGGAAAATATTTGCTGAATCACAGAAATAATAATTTTGTTCTCCAACATACAACCTGTGGTATACAATAATTTGGACAATCAAGAGCTCTCTTTACGACGGAAGTATATCATCACACCCAAGTCTTTTCCTAAAATCAGTTAAAAGTAATCATTAACTTACAAATAACAGAGTAAAGGGTCATAATCAAGCATTCTGAATTCTCTGTTAACAACTTGGAAAGAAGATCCTACATTTAGCCTGTGTTTTGAGACAAATATGGAAAACTCAGGGGCAGTAACAAACTGCCAGCTTTACTGAGTCATGATTCTGACTAAAACCGCGTTATGAAATGGAAAGGATGACACGTCTTGGGTTTGTTACCACAGATGTTAACTCCCTGAATTTATGGATCTTAGACTAAAAAAAATAATAATAAACTCTGTACGAATGATGTGGGGCTAACACGACTCCAGAAAAAACTTGCCAAAGCTGGTAACTCTGATTATTTACCTAAAACAAATCCTAACTGTGCAAACAGGCACACCCTCTAATGCAGACTGGGAACGGCGAGGCAGGGTGAATTCAGAACAATAACAAGGTTAACATCTCAGTGAGAAGCCAAGGCTCAGCCCTAAGAGTCCACACTGCACTAGACGCCCTGGGTTAACGGAACCGCTCATCTCCGAATGGAGGCGAGCAGACACCGAGCACCTGGGCGACGCCAGACCATCTCCAGTGTCCGCGCAGGACCGCCCGAGATGATCCTCCCGACGCCCCCCAGACGCCGCGTCGGGGACGGTCCCAGCCAGCAGCCTCTCCCTGCCATCCAACACGCTCCTCCGCGAGCCGATCGCGGGAGAGAATCCGTCTAGGGGCACCGTCCAGGGGCGAACCTGTCTGTGGGCGACCCCGACCGGGGGCGACCCCGTCCAGGCGCTGACTTGCCAGGCCAGCCCTGAGTACAGGGGCGAAGGGAGGTCCGGGGCCGCGACCTCTGCCCCTCTGGAGCAGGGAGTCCAAGGGTCGCCTCCCGCTCGGCTGCCAGTCCCCGCCGCCCCTGAAGCCGCGGGCTGCCTCTGGTACCCGCTAGGGCGGAGGCGGGCTTGTGCCCACGCTTGAGGCTCTGACTAACCTGGAAAGGTGCTTCAAGATCTGTTTCTTGATGAGCCCAGCCATGGTGCCGAGGGGGGAGGCGCCGCGCGCTCTCTCCGTTCTTCACTGCCTCCTCTCTTCGAGGCCGTCTCCTCTTTGTCCGGATTCACCCGGCCGGAGGAGAGGCTCCTGAGCACTCACGCCCGGGACAGACCCGAGGCCCCGGCCGAGGCCACAGCCGCCACCGCTGCCGCCGAGGACCCGGAGCATTGCGCTCAGGCAGCCGCGGCCGCCGCCGGCGCCATCTTGGCTGCAGCATCACCTAAGAGACCTGGGGGAGGGCCGGGGAGCGGCGGGCGCGAGGCGGGGCGGGGCCGGCGCGGGGTGGGCCGGGGCGGGGCCGGGCGGTGCGGGGTGGGCCGGGGCGGGGCCGGGCGGCGCGGGGTGGGCCGGCGCGGGGCGGGGCGGGGCCGGCGCGGGGCGAGGCGGCACGGGGCGGGACCGGCGCGGGGCGGGGCCGGCGCGGCGCTGGGCGGGGCGGGGCCGGGCGGCACGGCACGGGGCGGGGCCGGCGCGGGGCGGGGCAACGCAGACTCGGGAGGTTTGTTGTACCGCTTCCCTTGCAGGGTCTTGGGTCCGCGGTCCTACCTGTCCCTGACACTCTTGAATGGTTTGACTCCCATCCCCAGAACCTTCTGGGTTTTAGACCGCCATCCTCAGGCTCTAGTGTCCTCCACTGAGTGCTTCGCCCATATCTCACTTTCCTTTTTTATTTCCCTGTCAAAATTGACTCCACAAAGTGCTCTGATTGCTTTGCTTTCTTTACTCACTCAGTCTTCTTCATATTCTTCTTTGCTTAGATATCCTGCGTTCCCCTGGCCAAATGCTATAATTTGATCTTTCCTCTAGAAATTCTAAGGAAAGTGAAAGTTGTTACGGTGTGTTAATAAAGTCCAGGACCTGGAAATTAGAAGGCATGAATTCTAGTTTTGGCTCTAGTATTTTCTAGTTACATTAACCTGGAGAAAATAATTTCTTACTTTTAGCCTCAGTTTAATTATCTGTACAATAGGTTAATAATATCAGCCTTACCCAACTCACTAGGTTGTTGTATCTAAAGAAATAAAGATGTAAAATTTCATTTAAAAATTTCTATAAAAAGGAAGGAAATAGTTGAAATCACGGAGAGCTATTACATCTCTGCACCTTCACCCAACCGAGCCCCAAACCAACACTTTAGAGAGATGAAAATGGCCATCCAGTGACATCTGAAAAGGGGGGCGGGGAATTACACTACCTCTGAGGGATGTATCAGAAAAGTCTGTGGGAGTGTATGGTAATGGCAAGGGGATAGTTTACATATAGTCTGATACCTGACCCTTTTAAAGCAAGGGAAAAGCAGATATTTGTGGATTGACTATTTACTCAATTCACTCATTTATAATGCACTACAAATGAGGGAATATTCAAGTAACTAGGTATCCTAAATCAAAACAAACTTTTCCTGTCATCAAGAAGTTAATTAACAGCCTCAGATGAAAGATAAATTCCTATGCTAAGACCTTCAACTCTGTAATTAGACTCTTGTTCAAAGGCTGACTTGGCCACTTTGTAGGCAGAGTGTAAACTTGGGCAATTTATTTCAATCTCAGCCTCAGTACCTCATGTATTGGAGATAAAAGGATCTCACAATTTTGTGAGGATTAAATGCATATATAGTGTTCAACAGAGTACCTAGCATATGTCAAGCTCTTAATGCAATTATTATCCTTGGCATAATTGGAAACAGAAGAAAAGGGTCATGAGAACACGAGGGATGGAGTGATTCTATCTTGTTTAGTCAGAGATGGCGTTTTAGTGGAGATATTATTTCAAGGGTGAGAATGTCAGCTTAATGTTAAATGAACTGGCTCCAAAGTCAGACTTGGATTTGAAACTTCACTCTATCAGCTGAGCCACAAGGGAAGCCCAAGAACACTGGAGTGAGTAGCCTTTCCCTTCTCTAGCGGATCTTCCCAACACCAGGAATCAAACCAGGGTCTCCTGCATTGCAGGCAGATTCTTTACCAACTGAGCTATCAGGGAAGCCCTAACATTAAATGACTTGGCTCCAAAGTCAGCCTTGGATTTGAAACTTCACTCTGGATTTTTCACTTTGTAATGGTAGGGAAAGTACTGGACCTCTCCAGCCCTGTGATGTTATTTTCCTTCATGAGGCTGTTGTGAGGATTAACTAAGCTAATGCACGTTAGGTGCTTAGAGAGTGCCAGTCACAACAGAATGATGGCTATCATTACTAACTCACTAGGTGGAAAAGGATGTTTCAAGCAGGTGGAACACATTTATGAAAAAGGACAGAAGTGTCAAAGCCATGACTTCTAAATGGCAAGTAGTCTAATGTGCTGGAACATGAGAATTCCTTTTCAAAGTAGTAACAATTAAAGAATAATTCAGGTTAATAAGTGTAGTTACAATATCTTTTTCTTTAGAAAACACATGGCAGAGGGGGAGGAGCCAAGATGGCGGAGGAATAGGACGGGGAGACTGCTTTCTCCCCTACAAATTCATCAAAAGAACATTTGAACGCTGAGCAAACTTCACAAAACAACTTCTGACTGCTAGCAGAAGACATCAGGTGCCCAGAAAAGCAGCCCATCATCTTCGAAAGGAGGTAGGACAAAATATAAAAGATATAAAGAGAGACAAAAGAGCTAGGGACGGAAATCCGTCCCAGGAGGGGAGTCGTAATAGAGGAAGTTTCCAAACACCAGGAATCCCTCTCACTGGCGGGCCTGGGGGAAGTTTTCAAATCTTGGAGGGCAACCTAACTGGGAGGAAAAATAAATAAAACCCACAGATTACGTGCCTAAAAGCAACTCCCAGCAGAAAAGTACCCCAGACGCCCGCATCCGCCACCACGGAGAGGAGTGGGCGGCATTGCTTAGGGTAAGGACGGGGCCTGAGTGCCCTGAGGACAATCGGAGGGAGCTAACGCGAGATAACAACTTAAACTGTGGGATAGCAAGAGAGAGAGAGAAAATTAACCGGCCCAAACACACTGCTGGCTGTTCGCAGAACAAAGGGACTGAGCAATTCCAGAAAAGAGCTAGCCATTGGCGGACCGGCCCATCCCCGCCGGAGGCAGGAGGCAGAGGGGAGGGGAAAGGGGCAAACTCGGTCCCAGAGATGGCACCCCCTACCAAACTGCAAACAGGCCTCCAGTTTCTAACCAAAGACTTCCTGAGATTCTGGATGGTCGACATCTGCCGGGAGGGTCGCGGCTAGAGGCCAGCTCCCGCGAATAGACACGAGGCGCACGCACCCTACTGGTGCCTGCGGAAGCTGAGGCTGGGACCGCGGAGGGGAGAAGGCGCGCCGCACCCGGGGAGAGTGCGCCCGTCAAGCTCCTGGCTGCCTGGGCTGCTCGGGCCGGGGAAGGCACAAGACGCAGGCCCAACCGAGTCCGCGCTTTTGTGGAATACCCGAAAACTGGAACCGCACGCAACGCAGGGCACGCTCCATATAGAGCAGCCGGTGGCCTGAGCAGTGTAGACGGGGGAAGCACACACCGTGAGCGGGGTCAAGCCCAGTGTGGCCAGAAACACTGCGGTGCTCCCCACACACAGCCATATCTGCCTGCAGCGCCCCTCCCTCCCCGCAGCAGGACTGAACTAGAGAACCTGAACAAGAGACCACCTCCGCCCGCCTGTGTCAGGGCGGAAATTAGACACTGAAGAGACCGGCAAACAGAAGCCCAATAAACTAAGGGAACCGCTTCAGAAGGGACCTGTGCAACAGATTAAAATCCCTGTATTTAACACCGACTACACCGGAAGGGGCCTATAGACATGGAGAAGTGTAAGCTGGAATGAGGAGCTATCTGAAACTGAACCGAACCCACACTGACCGCAACAGCTCCAGAGAAATTCCTAAATATATTTTTACTTTTTTGTTTTTAAATTAAAAAATTTTTTCTTTTCTTTTTTTATTTTTTCTCTTTTATTTTCTTTAAAAATTCCCTATTACTCCCCCCCCATTACTCCTTAACTTTCATTTTCATTTTCATATATCTTTACTATTTTTTTTAATTAGGAAAAAAAATTTTTTTCTTGTTTTACTTTTTTCTCTTTTCTTTTAAAGTCCTCTATTACTCCTCTATTACTCCTTAATTTTCATTTTCATTTCACTATAACCTTACAAAAAAAGAAGAAGCCCTATTTTTAAACTGAACTTCATATATATTTCTAAAATTTTTTGTTTTTGTTTTCAATATTGTATTTTTAAGAATCTAACCTCTACTCTAGATTTTTAATCTTTGTTTTTCAGTATTTGGTATCAATTTTGGACATTTAAGGATCCAATATTCAGTACCCATTTTTACTCAGGAGTGTGTTGATAACTCTCCCCCACTTTTGACTCTCCGTTTTCTACCTCAGAACACCTCTATTTCCTCCCTTCCCCTTCTCTTCCCAATCCAATTCTGTGAATCTCTGTGGGTGTCTGGGCTACGGAGAACACTCTGGGAACAGAGAACTGCGTAGATCTGTCTCTCTCTTCGAGTCCCCCTTTTTCTCCTCCTGCTCACCTCTATCTCCCTCCTCCCTCTCCTCTTCTTCATGTAACTATGTGAACCTCTCTGGGTGTCCCTCACGGTGGAGAATCTTTTCACCATTAACCTAGAAGTTTTATTATCAGTGGAGTTGGAGAAGTCTTGAGGCTACTGGAAGAATAAAACTGAAATCCAGAGGCAGGAGACTTAAGCCCAAAACCTTTGAACACCAGAAAACTCCTGACTACACGGAACATTAAGTAATAAGAGGCCACCCAAAAGCCTCCATACCTGCACTGAAACCAACCACCACCCAAGAGCCAATAAGTTCCACAGCAAGACATACCACACAAATTCTCCAGCAACGCAGGAACAGAGCCCTGAGCGTCAACATACAGGCTTCCCAAAGTCACACCTAACACATAGACCCATCTCAAAACTCATTACTGGACACTCCATTGCACTCCAGAGAGAAGAAATCCAGTTCCATGCACCAGAACACCGACGCAAGCTTCCCTAACCAGGCAACCTTGAC